ACGTACATCCTGGAAATCGAAACCGCGCCACTTGACTCAATGACAGACCTCATGATACAGCGAGCACCCGTTAACCATTCGCACCCGCATGGGAAAGAAAGAGAGAAATGGGGTTTAACGTCCAAGCGACACAAACTAGGTCATTTAGGGACTAACCCGTGGTTCAGTTTTCTTTCAATAATTCGCTTGCGCTTAGGGGTCTTTAGCAGTGGAAGAAAACCGGAGGACCCGCAGAAAACCCACGAGGTCGGACAGGCGACCCTACTCCTTGTGACGAATAACCGTTGAATCGAAACCACGCCAACTGACTCAATGACAGACCTAATGATACAGCGCACACGTCCTAACCATTCGCCCCACCCCTCCTTTTGCAATAAATCAAATTATGGCCTCATATATAGAGGGATGGGGTTTAACGCCCATTCGCCACAAACTAAGTCATTTCGGGACTATCATGTAGTTCAATTTTATTTCAATAATTCGGAGAAAACCCAAGAGGTTGGACAGGCGACCCTGTCTGTCACGTACAAGCAATGGATCGAACCACAACACTTGAGTAAATTACAAACCCGTATAATCTGACTCGACAGCCACCCAACTATCGTACAGATCACCGGTCTAATGAAGTCGATAATACATACCACCATGCAAAACGCTTTGAGGGGAATTTTGCCCGAACAGAGACGCTACGGTCTACTCTTTTTTCGAATTACAGTTGTCAAAGATTCTTTTACGTGCACGCCAATGTTCGGCCGAACATAGCCGTCGCCATACCTAAATCCGCATAGAGCAATTGTTCTTGTACAGTAATCGTACTATAATGGGGTTCAACTTTGACCCCAAGCTTCTTTAGGTCGTGCAACTGATGTTCCGGGTAATTTGCTGTTTGCATGCCATTCCATTTGATCTAGCTTGAGTAGAAACTAATGATTTGGTTGATTTGATTGGAATCTGTTTGTCACCCACGCACAATCGTTAAATCAAATCAAATGAATTTGGGTTTAATGACCTGCTTGTCTGTCATTGAGTCAATTGGTTTCGATTTCCCGGTTGTACGTGACAAGGACAAGGGTCGCCTGTCCAACCTTGTGGGGTTTCTCCGGGCCCCTACACGCAAGCGAATTTTGCCCGAATAGTTTTATTGCAGTGGTACTCGCATATTTGTACCCACGACAGCAGCGTTTGTTTTTAACTGCCAAGGGAACTAAACAAATTTTTTGTCAATTCATTTTTCGTGAAGTGCCACCTAGTTATTAAATCTTTTGTTGTTTTTAGCCCCAAGACATTTTTATGTCCAATTACTTTTATTTTTTTTTCTTTGGGGGCCAAAGACAATAATTTATATAAAGATTAGCGTGTGTTATGTAACGACCATGAGGTTATATCATATCCGTTATTTTACCTCTCGCGGCTTCTTTTACTCGCCCGCCAACGTGTACGATGCCTAGGTTTATCGCCCTACTCGAAGGACTAGCCAATGTTAATTGTCAGTTCCCCGCCCGGTTTCACTGTCAAAGGCCTACTGTGTGTTATATAACGCCCTCAAGGTGCTTGAACAATTATCATGGCAGTTGTTATGTTTCTTCAATAAACCGGTTATATGTAATATATGTGAGCCGATTAACCGAATGATGGTGTAGATTAACCGGATAAAGAAGTCGTTCACCCATTCATTAACCATTCACATGTTCTTCCAAATGAAAACAAGAGCAAAAGTGGGCTGAAATCTCTTATTTTTTGGTTGGGTTAAGCAATCAATGTATGGTTAAGAAATCAATGTATATTGATCCATGAGAAAATTTGGTCGATCTTGAGGCCAAGCAACTTTACTCGATTAATTAAGCCCCAAGTCTTGGGAATGTATGGCGTATGCCCGCCTTCGTTGGCCCAGTAGGATCAGAGCCGTAAGACGGTAAAAACCATTTGATGAATTACTAGTATCTAAAGTAGAAATCGACCTGGTGATTTTGTCATTAAATGATTGACAGCGAGGGCTATCTCGGAAGATCATTAAACATACTTTAACATTTAAATTCTGTGGGCAAATAATTAGCGAATACCTCGCATGATCAGGGGAGTCGCGGTGCCTAGGCGGGCAAGACGTTGGCTCGCTAACCTGGAGGTCGGGTGTTCGACCCCTGCATTGGACCGAGAAAGTTCGTCCAGATTTTCCGGCGGAAGGCCTGACAAGGACAGTTGTCTAGTCGTTCGGATGGGACGAAGAAACGAGGTCTCTTGTATACTTTGGCGTGCACGTAAAAGGTCCCTTGACAGTTGAAATTCGATATAAGAGTAGACCGTAGTGCCGCTGTCCGGGCAAAATGCCCCTCATAGCACGCTGTATGGCGTATACCCGTCTTTATTATCCCGGTCAGGAGCAGAACAATAGGACGTTAAACTCCATTTCATTTTCATTTTCATTTCGCATGATCGGCAAGAATAGAAGATTAATTTAACAATTAATGAAAATAGAACGATCTTTATGACGTGGAATAACAATAAACCCGGGGGTGGGCTCATGTTTCACGCTCGAGAAATTAAGTAATCGTCTTATGGGAGAGATTATGACGTTGGTATGGTACTCAACATCTAATTCTTTACTTGTTTTATTGGCTGTACGCGTCATTTAGATTGTATGACTCGTTCTAATTGGATAAAGATTCTGGTGATAATGGTTGATAATCATGGTATTAGGAAGTGAGTGAAACACGTGGGTATTATTGGAACACCTACTCGGATTGGAAGGGAAATCAGCAAAACAATTTGGATTATCAAATCATTGTTGTATCGATGATAGACAATTGGCTTTAATTGTTCGGCTAACGAATATGACTGATCAATGAATTCAATGAATATGTGTAGTATAGTACCATAGGTCTTTTGTCAGACGTGGAGAGCGGGTGTTGTCGGAAACCGGTCGCCACATCCTACGTACGACCCATGCATCTTTTCTTACTACATATTTCTGTAGCCTTGTGATCGTCTAGAATTTGTCTCTAGCTGTCCTTACTTCTGCTTCACGTTGTGTATTTACTTCTTACAGTTTCTTAAGACGTTTGTCTTACCAGGAATAACAATGCAACGGTTCGCTTCTACATTTTATATAGCATAGCCGAATACATATGGATACAAGCATAATAGATAACAATACTAGCTAAAACCATTTCTCAACCCTATCCAGCCTCGCGGCTGTCTAGGAACTCAGATGGAAGTCTGACTTACAGAGTTCCACGGTTTCTCTTAAAGGCATATGAATATCATGCACAATAAAGCGTGATCATGGCCCTGAACTTGTGTAATTAACAAAATGATTGGTTACTCTAAACCCAATTACGCAATAGTACTTTTCCTTGCACATGTACTCTCTGTGATATTTTATACACACGTTTTGGTTAAATAACTCTTTTTTATATAACAATATGTCATTTATACCATAAGTTGATTTAGTACTTACTACATATGTGAATATGTTTGAAATTACTAACTTTCCAAATATATTAATTAATGAAATATAAAGTCATCTTATTTCTCTATTCCTTGTCTATAAATTTAAAAACAATGTCGCAACGACGATAGTGTTACATATGTGATGTAGCACTAGGAGAGAGAGAGAGGGAGAGAGAGAGGGGGGTAACGTCCACTCGTCACAGACTAGGTCATTGCGGGACTAACATACGGTTTAATTTTATATATCAATAAATCAATTTTGCATAGAGAGAGATGGACGTAGGGGTCTTCAGCCTTGGGACGTGGGAGTACCCAGAGAAAACCCACGAGGTTCCGAACCCACTCCTTTTCACGTGTAAGTGGGGAATCGACACCATGCTATTTAATTCAATGACAGACCTTAAGATCGAACGAGTATACCTTATCCCATTCGACGCCCCACCCCACCCCAGCCCCACCCACTTGCATTATTTTCCTTACATTGGTTGCAAGAATGGAGCTCTATACTCAAACTCCATCTTCTGGTTTCCGATGTCAGTGTTGCAGGACGGGGGGGGGGGCTAGGTGAGAGAGAGCGAAATGGGGTTTAACGTCCACTCGACACAAACTAGGTCATTTCGGGACTAACATATGGTTTAATTTTATTTCAATAATTCGCTTCCGCGTAGGGGTCTTTTCCAGTGGGAGGAAACCGGAGGACCCGGAGAAAACCCACGAGGTTGGACAGGCGACCCTACTCCTTGTCACGTACAACCAGGCAATTGAAACCACGCCAGTCGACTCAATGACAGACTTTATGATACAGCGCGCACGCTAACCATTCAGCCATCCAACCCCCCGGGGCGCTTGGTTAAGACAGTGTCCAGTTGTTCGGATGGTCCAATAAACAGGGATCCCGTGTACACATTGGTGTGCACGTAAATGAACCCTTGGCAGTTGGAAATCGAAATAAGTGTAGACCGTAGCGCCGCTGCCCGGGCGAAATGTCCCTAATAGCACACTGTATGGTGTTTTCACTTCTCCATTAGCCCAGTCGGTGCGAAAAGTAGTACGTTAAAAACCATTTCATTTCTAATTATAATATTCAAGTTAAGCAGTGAGGGGGGAAGGGGGGGGGGGGGCTGCAGGTAACCAGCGATGTTAGACAGTCAACCCCAATCCTAATCACACATGCTAGTGGGACTGTAACTGCGAGGTTAGGCAGTGGAGCAATTCATCTTCACATGTACGCCAATCAGCACCTACGTTCTTATAAATCGAGTACCAAGATGGTTATAATTTTTTTTACTTGCTGCAGTACATACATGATCATTGTTAAAGGAGGCAAGTCTGTAACTCAATATCATCCACAGTCATCGACATTGCAAACACGAATTATTTGTCAATTTAAATCAACATTGCTGTTGTTATCTTATCGTGAAAAGATGGGTTTCTGATATCCAATATTTAAGACAAAATGAAAATTTCAAAATTCGCGTGCCAGAATGCCTTCTAATGAAGCGACCCGGTGAAAGAACACAACTGATTTGAAATTAGAGTAAAAACAGAAACGATTGAATATAAATCATTTAATATACATTCATATTACATTATTATATGCGTTGCGATCCACTTCTAGGTGACAAAGAGAGAAGGGGGGGGGGGGGGGGTAACGTCAAACCAGGTAATTTCGAGACTGCCATATGGTATAATTATATGTATATTCAGTTATTCGCGTGCATGTAGGTGTCTTCAGAATTTTGGGGGGGGGGGGTGGAGAACCCGGAGGGTTTGGGAAGGCGACCTTATTATCTAAAGCGTATGCGTTACACCACTGGGCCCCCATCCCTTCCTATAAACCGTGTCCTATATATCTATAATTATAATCTTATATTGTATAGTGAAGTTATGTTCGCTGTCCAGGAATCCGTTGTGAGGATCTTTTAACAAGTTCCACTCCACCTTCTCTCCACGAATTCTGCTGATTTGTAAGATTGGAAATTTCAGTTCACGTTGTTTGACGATTGAATTACGATCATCCAGACGGTTATCTAGTTTAAAGATGTAAGAACACGACCCTGTAAAATAAATTTGATAAAAATATTATCCAACCGTTTCTATAAATTAAATAAAAACCAACATACCCTATTTCATTTTGAAGTTCGGTAATTCAAATTTCTGTTAATAGCTCATCGCAGTTTAAGTTAATTACATTTAAACATACATTATGCAAGAGCTAAATCTGCCTAGTTTAGGTCTTTCTTTAGTTCTGAATTGTTATCTAAATAATTAATTAGACATTAATTAGAATATCCAGACCATAATCAACTCTCGATGCCTTCGCTATCCTGCGTTATTTACTGGATTGGAATTCGATATGCTGCTCAACGCTCATTGAGCCTATGTGTTTTAGTGCACCGATTTAGTAATGATGATAGAGGCTAAGCCGAGAAATTCATAAGCTAATATCTCGGTTCAGAAAATTCCCTTTTCATTATCTAGTTTTTAACTATTATAGTGAGAACTGCCACTCTTTATCTAATCTCCCATAATGTATCTTTAAAGTAGCTAAGTCTCTAACTCAATATCATCAAAAATCTTCAACATTGAAAACACTAATTATTTGTCAATTCAAATCAACATTGGTCTTGTGATCTTACAGGGAAAAGATGGGCTTCTGATATCCAATATTCAAGACAAATCGTGTACCAAAATACGTTTCAGCGCCATTTGGAAAAAGGAACTCAAAGAACGCGGCTAGATATATTCCACAAGTCATGTCAAATGGTGTGGCTATATTCTTATCTGGATAGCATGCGCAATAAATATCATCCGTGTAGACTCGAATAACAAGACGCTAAAGATTGCCATTCAATTGAGACTTCTGGTGTATTTTGCAGAACATACCTGATTAGAAATTGCAGTAAAACAAACTATTGTGTTAAAGGGGCTAAATCGCTAACATTTGGGACCTAGAAATTGACACAAGTGGGTCGCAACTCATATAATACTGTAATATGAATGTATATAAACTGATATACATTCAATGGTTTCCGTTTTTACTCTAATTTCAAATCAGTTATGTTCCGCGAAATAAGCCCGCAGTCTCAATCGAATGCAAATTTCTAGCGTCTGGTTATTCCAGTCTACATACGCCGTTTAGTTTGGTGCAATATGTCTAGTTTCGTTCCTCGAGTCTCTTGGTAGAACTGGGGCTGGAACGCATTATGGTACACGATTCGTGTACCAATGGCAAAATGTTTATTTTGTCTTAAATATTGGATATCATCGATGTTGATTTAAATTGACAAATAATTTGTGTTTTCAATGTTGAAGATTTTGGATGATATTGAGTTAGAGACTTAGCTACTTTAAGCGTGAAAGAAAGGCTTATGGCAGTATTTTATACAACTAGATTTTGAAGCCCTGGGCATCAGCCTGCTAAGTCTATAAAAGCATCCACCATTGCTAATAAGACATTATTGGGACACATAAAAAAAACAAATCATTGTCTCTTACCTTTGGTGGACTTATACGGTGGTTTTAAAGCATTTTCTAAAAACAACTGGATATATATAACTGGGTTGTCTTTAACACTGCGTTGTTCCACTTCGATGTACCACTGGAATCCGTTAACGTTGATTCGTGGGCCTTCACACCTCTCATTCATAAAAATATCATTTAAATTAAAAATAGCTTTAACAATTGGTCCATCTTTATTGTTGATTGTATTCACTGGAGAATTGGCAATATTAATTAATGATGTTGCACCTTGACTAATATTAGAGATGTCGCTGCTAATGGGCCTGGGAATGTTTCCCATTACCTGTAGGGCCTTAACCGAGCGGACAGGAACCGTTTTATTCGAAGCCCCACTACTGTTCTGTTCAGCCCGTGTACAATTATCATTCGTGTCTGTTTTAGTCGATTTAAATTCCTTAACACCCCCGTCCGGAACTTTGGTTCTTCGTCTACACAGTGGACAATCAAATAAATTCTTCTTTGCCGATTTTGTAACGTGGTCCTCCAGGCATTTAAAACAGAATTTATGTTGACAGTCAATTGACTTAGGCTGTTTAAAACCGGATAAACAAATACTACACTCTTCCTCGGCGTTTTCATTGGTACATTCGGCCATTTTGTTGTGTGCAGGGGGTGGGGTCCTCTCACCACTTACTAATTTATTTTGGGATTAATACAGTGTATAACTTTATCTCAATAATTCGCTTGACGCATCGGCTCTTTAGATAGGCAGGCGATCCTACCAATGGTCACGTATAAGTCTGGTATCGAAACCAACACACTCAATGAAAAACCTAATGGTCTTAACTTCACACGATGTGCACGCATCGCCTCTTAAGATGTAGGCGTAAAACGGAAAACCCTGGCAAGGTTAGTCAGGCGGCCCTACAAACACACTCAATGACAGACCTGATGAACTTGACTACACACCATTTGCTGCAAATAGGCGCAATTACACAAATAGGCGCAATTACACAAAAACAAAATTCTGTTGGGGTGGACTTGAAACAAAAGCGCAGTTGATGTCTTAATGTAGCTACATGTGAGATAACGTGTATTGAACGTTTGTGACGTCATTGAATTTATATTTATGCATATTAGTTCCTAATTAACGCGATATGCTATTTCTGTGTTGGTAAGTGGTCTTTATGGTCCAATACGATTCGCGGATGTGGCTGTCTGGCAGTACTTCTTATCAACAGAATGCAATAATCAGTGTATCTTGAAAATGTCCATGCTGAAATATAAAGAAATGGAATGAAATGAATTGAGGTTTAATGTCTTACTGTTCTGTTCATGAAGATGATTTTACACAACGCGGTACCCAATTAGGACGTTATGAGCTACACTTATTTTTATTTTATTTTTTTTTTCTAAACAGTATTTATTCACATTGGGGAACAGGCAGAAGCCTATAGATCCCCCCACCCCATAAAAGTACAAACATAAATATATATTGAAAAGTAAAGTAATGTAAAGTAGAGGAATCATTACATTATAAGAAGGCAGGACGGAGGGCCTGACAAGGACAGCTGTCTAGTCATTCGGATGAGATGAAAAACCGAGGTCTAGTGTATACATTGGCGTGCACGTAAAAGATCCCTTGACAGTTGGAAGTCGATATAAGAGTAGGCCGTGGTGCCGCTGTCCGGGCAAAATTTCCCTCATACCACACTGTTTGGCGTATGCCCGTCTTCATTATCCCAGTTCGGAGCAAAACAGTAGGGCGTTAAACCCAATTTCATTTCATTTCATTTAAATTATAAGATGGCTATATACACGCTAATGATATAGTCGCAGATCGTGCATCTGAATGTAAGGGGCAAATTAAAAGAAAATGTTCAGAGTCTTCAAAGGCGGGGCCACAATCGCATGTAGGGCTGTCAGAAATATGTCTGAGAAAACGATGTCCGTTTAAATCACTGGAAGAGAGTAGAAGGCGAGAATGGTGAATTTGATTTTTTCTTCTGTCAAAGTAGTAAGCTGAAGGTATAATTTGATCAAGGTAGCAGAGTATAGATTTCAAAGAGGATAAAGTAGGTTAGTTTCTAGTAGAAAGATCGAGTAGATTCCATTCTCGAGTTGTAGATGGTATAAAAGAAGAAGAAAATAAAGAAGTTTTGCAGAAACTCTTATTTCCATTTTCAACTGTCAATAGGGCATTAACTTGCTGAGAAAAGTATAAATAGGGCTTCATCTTAATATACTATTCAAAAAAAGTAGGGGATATTTGATTTTGGGGGCATAATACTAAAATATGCAAATGACTACGAAAAAAGTCACTATAGAACCTAACAGAAGAAACATTTCCAGTTACATGTGACGCCCAAACGCACCAATAGCTACCGCATGGAATGCAGGTGATGCTTGGGATCATCATGGGGGTCCAACCCAAGATTTGCACGACTCTGACTTTGAATGTTACAGTCATTGTGGCATTGAATTCCAGGGTGGAAACATCAGTTTAATTGTTTTAGTGACCAGAAAACAAATTTTGATATGCGTCGGCTTACCCAAAATGAAAGGTTACGTGCCCTTGGCATGCTACAGATCGGCACAACACAGGCGGTTGTGGCGCGGACGATGAATGTTTCTCAGTCTGTCATAAGCAGGCTATGGTCCAGATACCGTGATACACAATCTGTACAGGACAGACCACGCTCAGGTCGACCAAGGGCGACAACTCAAGCCCAGGATCGATTTATCCGTACCTTGGCCTTGAGAAATCGTGTCATCACAGCAAATCAGATCAGCGCTCGTCTTTAAACAGACACTGGTGTGAGAGTGAGTGGCCAGACGATTCGGAATCGACTGCATAGGGGTCACCTTCGCGCCCGACGTCCTCGCGTGATCCCTTGTTTGAGAGATCATCACATTCAGGCAAGACGTCGTTGGTGTAGGGATCGTCAACACTGGGATAATCGACGCTGGAGCAATGTGATGTTTTCAGATGAGTCAAGGTTCACTGTTGATTTTTTGGACAGACGTAGGAGGGTGTGGCGTCGTCGAAACGAGCGCTTCCAAGACGTTAACGTCATCAGACATGATCGATTTGGGGGTGGTTCTGTTATGGTGTGGGGAGGCATCACTATTGCTGGAAGAACGGCTTTACATGTTGTTGCAGGGCGTGTTACAGGCCAGTACTACCGGGACAACATCTTGGCAGTCCATGTTGTGCCGTTCGCACGACGTCATGGCCGCCGTTTCATCTTCCAGGATGACAACGCAAGATGTCACAGGGCCAGGATCGTTACAGGTTACCTCCAACAACAGAACATCACCACATTACCTTGGCCAGCACTGAGTCCCGACCTCTCCCCCATCGAGCATGTCTGGGACATGCTTGGACAGAGGTTACGTCAACGTCAACAACGTCCTGCCAATGTCCAAGAACTTGCTGCTGCGTTGCAACACATGATTCAATTTTATTTCAATAATTCGCTTGCGTGTAGGGTCTGTAGCAGTGGGAGCAAATCGGAGGACCCGGAGAAATCCCACGAGGTTGGACAGACGACCCTACTCCTTGTCACGGACAACCCGGGAATCGAAACCACCCCAGTTGACTCAATGACAGACCTCATGATACAGCGCGCACGTTCTCACCATTCGGCCATCTACCCCCCCCCCCCCCACCTTCCGTACCCCGAAAACAAAGTGGTTCGGCTACTTTAATCCTTTAGTGTGACCTAAATCGAAAAGATTGCAGTCGGAAGTTATTATATTATTGTGTTTTGATTGTGTGATATTGATTTTGTAGAATTCCTGCTTTTTGTTAGTCTAAAAGAAAGAAAAGCTCCGCAGAGAAATGACATTATTATCTCTTCACTCAGAACACAAAGAAGTAATAAATTAGTTTATCGTGATAATTGATTTATTTGAGTATAAACCAGAGATAAAGAACGATAATTTCTTCTTTTAAATCAACGGTGTTTCAAATCTGTGTTGTGAAATCTGTTCAAACTCAAATGAAATAAAATGAAAAGAAATGGGGTAAAACGTCCTACTGTTCTTACCGACTTGGCGGATGAAGACGGCTGTTCAAATTCAGGTGGGACGATTTACCCAATCCCAATACGACCTCAATAACACGACATACTACCCAATACTACAACAAAATGATGCAAAATGGACATATCATTTGATTTTTTTTTCTAAAATAGAGAGTTATATCGCAGGAAATGCACTTTAAATGCGATACCGATGTCTGGCTGTTTAGCAGTGGAAGTAAACCGGAGAACCCGGAGAAAATCCACGTGTAACATATTTTTATTAGTCACTGAAAATAACCTATCCTCATTGTTTACGTTCACAACAATATGGCGACTTGTTTGTTGCAGCAAAATGAGAGTTACTTGTATTTAACGAATATTTTGATTGGTCGATAAAAATAGCCCAGTCATCAAGGGTAGATAATTTGAATACGTGCCCCCCCCCCACGTAGATGAATCCAGGGGTTAGTGGATTGAAATAAAAATGAGACCACTGGGGATACCAAAGAGGGAGAGAAATGGGGTTTAACGTCCATTCGACACAAACTAGGTCATTTCGGGACTAACATATGGTTCAATTTTATTTCAATAATTCGCTTGCGCGTAGGGGTCTTTAGCAGTGGGAGGAAACCGGAGGACCCGGAGAATACCCGCGAGATTGGACAGGCGATCCTACTCCTTGTCACGTACAACCGGGGAAGCCAAACCATGCTAGTTGACTCAATGACAGACCTTATGATACAGCGCACACGTGCTAACTAATCAACCATCCACCCCCACCACCCACCCAGATACCGAAGATGGATATAACCAGGTATCCTAACAAATAAACCCATGCAGGGGTGGATTGGGGCCGGTTCCTGGCCCGGGCTCCCATGTCGGAGCGGCCCCTTTGAATGACCATGAAAATTTTGAAAAATTAACCCCAAATATGCGATTTGGTGGCATATCTGATTATAATCTCTGTCAAATAAAATATCTCATAAATCGATTAAATTAGGCCAAAACCCCGACCTGACAGTAATTTACAACCATCAACCTGTGAAATTATTAATTAACATATTATCATTGTATCGTCATGACCAGCTATCATCAAATTTTGCTGAGGCCTTAAAATTGATTTTTTTTTTGGAGTTATGAACCATCGGCAGACGTTTCTGGCGTATCCCCACAAACAGGGTGCAGCGACTTAATAATTAGTAAATTTGCGGGCGACAGTGTTGGGAGAATCCGATGAAATTTTCGGAAGAAATTCGGAATCCCCATTGCAGGATTCCGAATTCCAGCCCACACCAGCACACCTGGCCCAGTAAGACTCCAGCGATGGCGTGGCGGCCCTTAAAGTCACCGGCCACATACAACATGATCATCATCGCTCCATGGCCGCTCCAATACCCCCCCCCCCCCTCATATAATGTTCAGCAGAAAAAGTTTTTTAGACGAATTGGACAAAATCCGCCCCTGAACCCATGACGAAACGCAAGCTCCCTATGCCTCGTCACATCATGACATAAATACCAAGGGTGTAACCGGGGATCCTCGTACTAAATTTAAGCTGTCTGTCTACACAACTTAAAGTAGCTAGGTCTCTAACTCGATCAATACCATCTTCGACATTGAAAACAAAAACTATTTGTCCATTTAAACCAACATTGATGTTGTGATCTTACCAGGAAAAGATGGGCTTCTGATATCCAATATTTAACACAAAATAAACATTTTACCATCGGTACATGAATCGTGTACCATTATGCGTTTCAGCGCTATTTGTGACAAGGGACTCGAAGAACGAGGCTAGACATATTCCACAAGTCATGTCAAACGGTCACGCCATATTATGTTGTTCCATTCAAAGCTGTTGTCACATTATGATGCAAATTATATAGATAGTACGGTATTAAGGTGACAAAGGGCACCACAGTGGGTAAGACGCTGTCTCGGTAGCCTGGTGGTCGCATGTTCGATCACTGCATTGACCAAGAAAGTTCATCGGGATTTTCCTATGTGGTTTCCCCTTGTCAGTGGTGCAGGACGGAGGGCCTGACAAGAACAGCTGTCTAGTCGTTCAGATGTGATGAAAACCTGAGGTCCTGTGTATACATTAGCGTGCACGTAAAAGATCCCTTGGTAGTTAGAATTCGATAAAAGAGTAGGCCAGAGTGTCGCTGCCCGGGCAAAATTTCTCTGTCTTCATTAGCCCAGTTCGGAGCAGAACAGTAGGACGTTAAACCCCATTTCATTTCATGTCACGATGAAAGTGCATCGTATGAAACTACATCGTGTGAAGCAGTTTATGGAGAGAGTACGGTCATGCGGTGCTCCATTGTCACACTCTGAAAGAACACAGAGTGGCGCAATTTTTGGAGATAGTACAACATTATGATGCCACCTGTAAATCCATCGTCACTTATGGAAAGTACAAAGTATGAAGCAATTTTTGGAGATAGTACGGCAATGCGGTGCCCCGTACAAATGCGGTGCCCCGTAAAAAGCCACTCTATGAAAATAAATTGTACAGAGGTTTTATTTCTATTGAGTAGAATGTTGCCCTGTTCACAGCTACTGTTACTTCATGAAAGTACATCGCATGGCGCAATTTTTGGACATAATAGGGGTAATACTGGCGTGTTTTCGATTCCCCGGCTGTACATGACAAGGAGTAGGGTCGCCTGTCCAACCGCGTGGGTTTTCTCCAGGTCCTCCGGTTTCCCCCCACTGCTAATTAGACCCCTACACGCAAGCGAATTATTGAAATAAAACTGTACCGTGTGTTAGTCACGAAATGACCTAGTTTGTGTCGATTGGACGTTTAATATCCCTCTCTCTCTCCTTTCTTTCAAGTTTATCCAAGTTTCTTTAAACAAGGACAACTAAAGTGAAAATGAAATTTTGAGAACTTCTTTCTAAAAGTGTAGGTACATATGATTTACCGTCATACAGCCAAGGCTAGATGTAGAGTAACGTCATACAGCCGAGGGTAGATGTAGAGTAATGTCATACAGCCAAGGCTAGATGTAGAGTAACGTCATACAGCTAAGGCTAGATGTAGAGTATCGTCATACAGCAGAGGCTAGATGTAGAGTAACGTCATACAGCCGATACTAGATGTAGAGTAACGTCATACAGCCAAGGCTAGATGTAGAGTAACATCATACAGCAGAGGCTAGATGTAGAGTAACGTCATACAGCCGAGACTAGATGTAGAGTAACGTCATACAGCCGATACTAGATGTAGAGTAACGTCATACAGCCGAGACTAGATGTAGAGTAACTAACGTCATACAGCCGAGACTAGATGTAGAGTAACGTCATACAGCCAAGGGTAGATGTAGAGTAACGTCATACAGTCGAGGGTAGATGTAGAGTAACGTCATACAGCCGAGGATAGATGTAGAGTAACGTCATACAGCCGAGGCTAGATGTAGAGTAGCGGAATCTGCCGAGGTTTGTCGAGTGTGTCACTCTATGACAGTAAATCGTATGATTTAGTATTATATATTATTTAGAGATAGTATGGTATTGTGGTGTCCCTTTCAAAGCCATTAAGATATGACATTACATGTGTTGTCACCCCTATACACACCAGTTACATTGTATGTATTATAATATAGTTCACGTGTTGTAATATGTATATAGATATTCAACTCACAGAGAGGGGGTGGGAGTTGTAAGAAAAAATGTGTTCGATAAACCTCAGGCTGAAACATCTGGTGTCAAGGACGAATGTAAATACAATAGCGCAAATTACAGAGAGAGAGCTGGGCGTAGGGATCTTCAGTCCTGGGAGTACCCGGAGAAAACCCACGAGAGAGAGGGGGGAGAGAGAGAGATCACATGTTTTTTTCGGGGGGGGGGGGGGGGGGGGGGGGGTATAGTTTACCAATTGTAGTGGTTCACATAAAGAACAGAGACTAGAGAGAGAGAGAGAGAGAGAGAGAGAGAGAGGGCAGGGTAAAGTGGATGTAGGCCTATATATTTATCAAATATTGTATCCCGTACAATAGCGCATATTACAGAGAGAGAGAGAGAGAGGGGGGGGGGGGGTAGAGTAGATGTATATATTTATCAAATCCGGTATGTTATTCACCATGGTGGATTAGACGTAGATTGAATCATTGTCATTGTGTTGCTCGTGTTGTTCAAATCATCAACAATTATTAACCTAGGACTCCGTCTAACAAACCCAATATCAACAATGAAGTAACTAACCTTGATTTAGTAGAAACCAATAAAGTTGGTATATTAAATATCCCCCGTTGATATTAAATACGTCGTTTTGTTGTCATTAAAAAAGTCACTTTCATGTAACTGGTTTGTGGAAAAACCCATTTTCGATATCCCACTTCCGTCACACTATAAATAGCTGTAAGTGGTCCTACTTTTATTTTATTAACACATCGATAGCTTTCAATATCCAGTCCTCTCGATACATCTAATATTGTTAATACAATCTAGCACTCTGGATAATCTGTTATTGTTGATACACCGATAGCTTTCAATATCCAGTTCTCAAGATACACATATAAACGTCTGTCTACAAGATTTTACTTATCCGGAAAGTCGATATAAACTAAAATATTATAACCTAAAATGGGCGCATATCTTGAGGCTTAGTTACCAGGGTTAGGGTTAGTGTTGAACTGACAAGGTGTGCCTAGTCGTTTAGACAGGACGAAAAAATATCTCAAAGTTTACCTGCCTTGGTCTTCATTTGTTAGTGGGGGGTTGGATGGCCGAATGGTTAGCACATGCGCGCTGAATCATAAGGTCTGTCATTGAGTTAACTAGCGTGATATCGATTCCCCGGTTGTACGTGACAAGGAGTAGGGTCGCCTGTCCAACCTCTTTGGTTTTCTCCGGGTCATCCTAGTTTGTGTCGAGTAGATGTTAAACCCATCTCTCTCTCTCTCTCTCTCTCTCTCTCTCTCATTTGTCAGGGATGTCGCCTGTGGGTCTAAGGGGGGGGGGGTATGCTTAGTCGTTCGAATGGGACAAACAAAACATATAAACTAAACCTCTACCATTATAAATTGGAAAAGAGTAGACAAAATTGTCATCTCTCGCATTGCACTCGTAACCATAGAAATAAACATTGCCAGGTACCATAATTATATGCTTTTAATTATATCGATTAAAGCTTCCAAAATCAATTATTCAATCGTGGCATTTTGCTATAGAAATGAACAGGAACATTGGTAAAGCCAAACGTCACACAAGACAATTAAGTGGTATGGAATAGTATTCATTGTGACAAATATAATAACAGAAGATCTCCTAGTACTTAAAACTGCCACATTTCATTATTCAATCGCGACATTGTGCTTTAGAAATAAACCCGGGCATTAGTTAAGCCAAACGTCACACAAGAGAAATAACCGGTATGAAATAGCAGCCATTGTAAAAGAATGTAAGAGCATAAGATCTGCGTTTTTCTTAAACAATATGAATCATTGACAACCTAAACATGCATAACATTTCATTGTTTTAAACAATAGGATTTGTTTGTTATACTTATGAATAGCTTAATCTAGTCTAACTTAACGAATTTTTATGTAGTGATCAAGAAAAGAAACATCAAACTGGAAAATCACAAGGGGCGATCTCGGCAGACACCGCTCACACCGGGATCAAACCAGCACTAGAATCGCCCAGTCACTGCGGGGAGTGTGACTTTAGCCCTCTCATCCCATTAATTGTAATGAAATGAAATGGGGTTTAATGCCCTATTGTTCTGCCCCGACTGGGATAATAATGACGGGTGTGTCTGATGAAAGGGATCATAAACATGCGAATTAGTGACAGAGACTTTGTGTCTAATTAACAAATAATTAACAAATAGTTACACGCTTTCATGTTACAGAAAGTAATCAGCGGGTCACTTGAATTAATGCGAGGGGATCAATGGGGAGGTCAGGTCAAACAGCGGTCTAATCAAACATAGGCTTATTTTAATCATACTTGAAATGATACATGGGCATCGTCCAGCAGGAAGGGTACTTATTGACTTGCACGGGAACTTACCAATCGGCAGATGGAATTCAGTCATTCGGATGGGAAGAAATACCGTGTACACATTGGCGTTCATGTAAAAGATCCCTTGACTGTCCGGGCAAACTGTCCCACATAGCACACTGTATGGGGTATGCCTGTTTTCATTAGCCCAGTCGGAGCAGAACAGTAAAACTTTAAACCCATTTCATGTTAATTTTTACAAGAATCTGGACTTTGTAAGTGTGATTTTGATTGTGTCTGTCGATTTGTTGTGTGAGTTAGTTGTATTTTACGTCCGCTTCCACCGAGGTTAAATAATAATGCCTAAAGTAGCAGGAGTGTGTTGACACCAGTCTGGTTATGTTCACAGCAGTAGACATTTGTTTGGATCCCAAATTTTCCGGATTGAAAGCATAAATCAATAATATTCACATCGCGCTCAAAATAACAAACCAAGAACTTCAGGTTGAAAGTGAATAGAGAATTAATAAGGAAGCCGTTAATTTATCCAGCCTAATGAGAAAACGGTAATAGTTCATATTTTTATAATTGGAGGCAATAAAGTAGAAAATAGAAAAAATTATAAAAACCATAGTAGTTGATATTTTGACATGGCCGACATATTTGTTGTACTTGTTTATAATAGTCAATGCAGGAGGACCGCACTAAACACAAACAATACCCACAAGACCAACCTGTGGACAAGACACACGTTTGAAGCAATAAACAACACAAATATATCAAATCCAGTAGGTGAGAAGGAGTAGGGTCGTTTATTCCGAAATGACCTAGTTCTTGTCTAGATCACGTTAAACTCCTGGTTGTATGTGACAAGGAGTAGAGTTGTCTGTCCATCCTCGTGGATTTTCTCCGGGTCCTCCGGTTTCCTTCCACTGCTAAAGACCCCTACGCACAAATGAATTATTGAAATGAAATTGAAACATATGCTAGTCCCGAAATGACCTAGCTCTTGTCGAGACCGCGTTAAAAGCCTTTCTCTCTCTCTCTCTCTCTCTCTCTCTCTCTCTCTCTCTTCCCACTCTCTCTCTCTCTCTCTCTCTCTCTCTCTCTGGTCAATAATGAAATGAAATAAGGTTTATGATCCTACTGTTCTGCTCCTAAACTGGGCTAATGAAGATGGGCATACGCCATACAGTGTGCTATGAGGCAAATTTTGCCCGGGCAGCGGCACTATGACCTATTCTTATATCGAATTCCAACTGCCAAAGAATCTTTTACGTGCACCCAATGTATACACGGGACCTCGGTTCTTCGTCCCATCCGAACAACTAGACCGCTATTCTTGTCAGGCCCTCCGTCCTGCACCACTGACAAGGGGAAACTACGTCGGAAAATCCCGATGTACCTTCTCGGCCAATGAAGGGGTCGACCACCCCGACCTCCAGGCTAGCGAGCCAGCGTCTTACTCACTTAACCACCGTGGCTTCCCTCTCATCTATGGGGGGGGGGCTGAATGGTTAGCACGTGCGTGCTGTATCATAAAGTCTGTCATTGAGTCAACTGGCGTGGTTTCTAATCTCCGGTTGTACGTGACAAGGAGTAGGGTCGCCTGTCCAACTTCGTGGGTTTTCTCCGGGTTCTCCGGTTTCCTCCCACTGCTAATGACCCCTACGCGCAATCGAATTATGGAAATAAAATTGAACCGTGTGTTAGTACCGAAATGACCTAGTTTGTGTCGAGTGGACGTTAAACCCCATTCTCTCTCCCCCTCTTATCTATAAGTACGCAAATAGATATGGAATATGTTAATAGCCCTGTAATAATAACTAACATGTTAATTGAGCACCAATTAAAACCAAGATGGTAATAGATCTGATCTCTGGTGAAAATTATCCAGGCGTACATACCTTCTCAAAAAAAACAACAACATATATTCTCCTTATTATTAAGTGTACTGGTGTGATCTTGGCAAAACATATTTGTTTTCGGCGCTTAAATGGCTTTTTTTTATCAGTTTTGCAATTCCTGGGAAGTTCTGTTTCTTGTTAATACTACTTGTTGTTACTTCATGTGAACATAATGCGTGTTGCCATGGTTACATGAGCAGAAGGGTGGTGTCCATTTACTCTCCTTTAAATTCCAAATGTTAAAGGCTCAATACCACTCTTGTTGTAACTGAATAATATGTCCCAATCTTTATTCTGGTCAACAAATTGTACTATTTTACAATATTCCAATTAATTGATGATACAAATTTCATCTTAACACACCTAATTTAAAAAATTGGAAAAAGTCAACTAAATGATTTGAAAAGTCTGACGTAAAGCTTTTAAAATGTGACTTGTATTTAAAAATATTTTTGAACCCTTTGGACAAGTAAAATAGGATTTAATGGATAATTTACACAACAGGTAGTATAGGACACTAACACATCTAGTACTTAGAATAAGGCTATTTTTTTATTTTCTGGAGCTGTCAAGCCAGCAAGAGTGTTATTGTCCCTTTAAGAGATAAATGTCAATTTGCGAACTTTATAAAGTTGTCGACGTAATGAAATGAACCTTTTGCACCAACGGGAGTAGTGTGCTATGGTGGGCATTTTACTGCTTCCTCCGGCTTTTCGTCCAAATCCACCAGTCAACGGTTCTTTTACGTGCACTTCAATTTTTCGCACCATCCTTACTACCGTCCTGCACCATTAAAAGGGAGAAATCACGCTCGAATATCCAGGCCAAAACGAGAAACGAATCCGTGGGCCGCCCGAGTAGTGAGCAAACGCCCTTACTTGCCGAGCGACTATGACTCCCCTTGAGTAGTGAGCAAGCGCCCTTACTTGCCGAGCGACCATGGCTCCCATGCAAAACACAAATCCAGAACAAGGCTCTGGTTTCTTTTTTTTATAACTGAGTTTTGAAATGAAATGAAATGGGGTTTAACGTCCTACTGTTCTGCCCCAAACTTGGATAATGAAGACGGAAATACACCATATGGTGTGCTATGGGGGACATTTTGCCCGGACAGCAACACTACGGCCTACTCTTATATCGAATTCCAACTGTCAAGGGATCTTTAAGTGCACGCAGTCCCATCCGAACGACTAGACGGCTGTCCTTGTTGGATTCTCCGTCCTGCATCACTGACAAGGGGATACACACGAGGGAAAATCTGGATGAACTTTCTCGGCCAATTCAGGGATCGAACACCCGACCTCCAGGCTAGCGAGCCAGCGTCTTACCCACTAAGCCACCGTGACCCCCCTGAGTTTAGAAATAGGTTCTGGATTTTCTTTGTAGGCAATCACAACTCGCCCTCAGATAATGGACCCCAACCACAATTATTCTTGTGTTTCTAAACTTGAAATGTTAGACTTTAGGGGGTTTTGGGGGTTTTTTTTAATGGGTTTAACGTCCACT